CCTACATAGCATTTATGGGATACATATATATTTGGCTAATCAGTGGTTTAGTCTATCAAGTGGCTATGGAAGGATTATGGCTAAGCATGCATCTATCTACATAGGACGGTTATTTACTAGAGGTTCTGTTGTTAGATGGATTTAGGATCAATCAAATAGTTATAGTGAATCATTTGTATTATTATTTTATTGATGGAAGCTTTACTTTAATTATGAACATATTTTACTTGTCACAATAAATTATAAAAGGTTAATAATTATCCATGCTTTGTATGTTAGAGTTGTTCAGGTTAATCATATTATGGGTACAGATTATCCCATCACATAATTTTACAATGAATAATCCTAATTTACAGTTGAACTATAATTATAATTATATGAGGTCAAGATTTATAACTAGTATTTATCTAATATACATGTTTGTCATACTCTCCCTCTTAATTTAATTTATGCAACACGCAAATTAATACTATACCGTACCACTATAATGGGATGTATAGTATATGTGTAAGCAACAATATCTTATTATTGGATCATATATTTGAGTAGTTGCTTTTTACTGTAAGCTATACAATACATGTTAAAGATAATTATGCTACTGTACAATATCCATTTTTATTCATTGGCACACTATTTAGGTTAACTATTATCTAATCATTTGATATTAATTAATTTATAATTATAAATATATTTTGTTAAATAGTGAATTATATATCATTGGAAAGCTTATGAATTTAGATGAATTTAGGTTCAAGTTTCACTTAAATCCGAGTAAAAGTCGAATGCGAAAGTCGATTACTTTTTATTAACTTTACTATCTGCGAACTACGGCAAACCCAATTTCGATTTAAACTATTTTGCGGGTATAAATATTTTGTTGTCATAAGTTTTTAATTTACTCATCCCGAGCATTATATCCATATAACAGGTTAGAAATTTCTATTACGAGCTAAATATCGGACGAAATCTTAGAAATATTATACAATTTAATTTAGTCTATGACTAAACGATTAAATATAATACACGGCTAAGATTCCTAGTAATTGAATCCGAATTTCTACCATGAACCGATGACTTATAGAGATTACCAAAAATAATCTATAATAATCTATAAGAATTCATCTAATTGTTTGGTTATTAATTATATCTAAATTACTACCAATTTTAATCTAATCTGATCAAGAAACATATATTTATAATTAACTCGGAATTTCGATCGAAATACCATTACGCTCGAGGAATTTCCAAAAATAATCTATTATTAACCCCGACCATTTTTATTTCCTAAATCCTCCTAATTTCTCCCCCAATTTCCCTTCTATTTTCTCCTTTCCTTCTTTTTCTCTCTTTTCTCTCCCTCTCTTTCTTTTCTTTTCTTTTCTCTTTTCCCTTTTCCTTTCTTTTTCTTTCTCTCCCTTTTTCCTTTCTTCTCTCTTTCTCTCTCTGTCGGCCTCTCTTTTCCTCTTCCTTTCTTTCTCTCTCTTTTCTTTTCTTTTCTCTCATCCTACTCCCGGCTCCTTCCTCCCTCTCTCTCTCGGCTCCTTTCCACCCGGGCGGCGACGGCGACGGAACGAGGGAAGGGACGGCGGCTTACCGGCGATGGCGACGGCGGCACGACGTCGGCGCACGGCGCGGCGGCACGAAGGCGGCGGTGCGGCGGCGCGAGGGCGGCGCGACGACGGCGCACGGCGCGGCGGCACGAAGGCGGCGGCGCGGCGCGGTGGAGGGGACGAAGAGGGGAAGGAGGAGAGGAAGAGGGGAATGGGTGGGGATGGTGTGGGGTGAAAGGGGGGGTGGCCGGGGGGTTTTATAGGGCGCGGGGGAGGGGTGGCCGGCCCTAATGGCGACGCGACGGCGCGGCGCGTGGGGCTCGAGGCGGCGAGCGGCGTGACAGGCGGGGCGACGCGACGCGCACGGCGGCACGGGGCTCGGCGCGATGGGACGGGCGCGCGGCGGCTCGGGGCGCGAGGCCGACGGCGACAGGCGAGCGGCGTGGCAGCGACGGGTCGCGGGGCTCGAGGGTGCGGCAGCGCGACGACGATGGCGCGCGGCGCGCGGTGACGGCGATGGCGACGGCTCGCGGGGCGCGCGGGGCGACAGGCGACGCGACGGCGACGCGGCGCGGTAGCGGCGGCGCGCAGCTCGAAGCGGCGATGGGACGCGACACGGGGCTCGGCGTGGTGCGACGCGACGGACGACGGCGCAGCAGCGGCACATGGCTTGGCGGCGCGGGGCGCGAGGCGCGACGAGACGGCGCGCGACGCGGCAGTGAAGCCGACGCGACGGCGATGGCGACAGCGCGCGGCGAGGCGATGATGTCGATGCGACGGCGACGACGACGGCACGCGCGGAGGAGTGGGGCTCGAGAGGATGCGACCGACGACGGCGTCGGCGCGCGGCGGGATGGAGACGGCGCGGCAACGGCGACATGACGCGGCGACGCGGCAGGGCGACGGCGGCGACAAGACGGCGCGCGGCGGCGCGGGGCGCAAGGCAGCGGCGCAGCAGAGGGGAGGCGGAGCGGCGCGCGGCGCGTGGGGCGCGAGGCAGCGTGGCAGAGGAGGGGCTAGGGCTAGGGGACCACGTCGAACACCTAGGGGCTAATGAACAGTGCTAGCCGGCTATTTAACCCTATTTAAGCCTATTTCCTATATAAATTTTATTCTATAAATCCTAATTTTTACACAAATGAAGTTTACTCAATATTTGTGTTATTCTAACCAATGTATTCACCCTAGATTAATATTACCCATATTTATTTATTTATCGCACAAATGAGTCCTTTTTAGATTAATCTAGATTATTCGCCCTAAAGTGAACTTATATATTTTTGAAGACTTTCGGGTAATATCGGAATTAATATAACGATGTGTCCTTATTAATTCAATGGCATATTGGTCGAGTTTCTTTGTGTAGCATTATATTTTACACGGATATTTTTAATCTATTTATTCTACAAATAGCAAATTTAGACTCGGTACACTATTAATCTAATTGTTTAGTTAAACACCAACGCATTCTTATTTATGTATAAAGCTTAATTTGTTTACATGACCATTATTTCATGTGAATTGGTTTACCTTTATATAGACCATTAGAGTTTAGTAATATCCCATTAATTACTCCTAGTGAAACTATGTTATAGATAGAGTTCCATTATAAATGGTCATCATTTCATGTGTATTTAGACGTCATAGCACGCAACACATGGTTCACGTATTTAGTATTTAATCCCTAATTTAAATTAGTAATTAACCTTCCGTTTGTCTGGCTTTATTTTCTTGTGCGTAATTATTTGTAGGGTTAACAATATTATATTCTCATAAATCATATCTATTGCTTAAATGTAGTTCTTTTCTTTACCTTCTTGGTGATCATTTACGGTTTGGCAAGCAATAGGAATCATAACAACCAGCATGATGCAAAAGTTTTAAAAAGTTTGAAATTTTAGTGATTTTTATTGTTGGAAATTTTCAGGATGTTACAAGTACTAAGTCTGGTACCTATGGGTATCAGACCGATCTAGGTACCTGGTACCTACAGGTATCAGACCGATCTAGATACCAAGTACTTGATACCTAGGTACCCGATACCAGTACTAGGTCTGGTACCTATGGGTGTTAGACTGATCTAGGTACCTGGTACCTGATACCTGAGGTATCAGGCCTGTTACATATGGTACTAATCCGGATAATCTGGGTACCAGTTACTTGATACCTAGGTATCAAGAACATGATACCCAGACATTAAATACTGTGAGTACCATGTCTTCACACCGATGAGAGCCATGAGGAGAAAGGAAATAAGGAAAAAGCAAGCGCGAAAATGAGATGGCTACTTCCTTAGAGGTGGAGGGATGCCATTCATTCTCGTTGCCATCCTTGATTCGGAGCGTCGCTGCCCTGATCCTCGACACCCACACAAGTGTGATGGTCGCAGACATCGTTTGCGACACACCTCAACTCACCTCCCACCTTGAACTCGTTGCATCTCTTCCCGGACCCTAGCATACGAGAGCCCCATGGCCACCACCGGCGACGTGACATTAGCATAGCGAGCGCTGGACAATTCCAATCTTGTTAAAGGGCTTGCCATGGGAATCATGTCCCAACCCCCTGCTAGGAACGAAAAGAGAAGTTACAGAGGGAGGGTGGGGCGGTGGATGACGATGAAGCGAGGATCGGGGAGAGAGAGAGACACAGAAAGAGAACGGATAAGAATGGAAGGTTATCCACTTATCCCGTCTTCACGGGATGCCTTTTTCTGTTTTGCATTTCCTCAGCGGCTACATTATCGGAAGAGAAATGCATGGTGAATACGTTTGGTTTTGTTTGCCCCATGGAGTTGATTGGATAGTTTTCTAATTGCTGTCAACCCCTGATTATTAAAAACATATTTGATAATTATATTTATTTTTTATCTTTATAACGAGGACTAGGTGGTAAATCAATTACTCATAATAGAGAAGAGATGTCAGAAAAATTATTTATCTTAGTGATGTTCAATTTGAACCGATATATTATTTGTCGAAGTGGTTTCTTTATTTGCGTGAGGATAGACAAATAAAATAAAAACTAAATGGTCGTAATCCCCTGGCACAATTTATTTGGCTTGTGTCTTAAGCTGCGACTATAAAAGATGCTTATGCTAATATGTAGGTCCACATTCCGTCTTTGCTTTTGTTGAAGAAGAGCGTATATAAACAGAAGAAAACGTGTTTGCCAAATCTTCGAATTTCACCATACCGAAGGATGAAAAAACAATTTCTCCCCCATACTATGTGGTCTGGAAAAATTATCTTAGGATTCGAATCAAATGGTCCGAAACAGACACAATAATATTCCAGATGCTTCTCACCCCTAAGTTCGACTGGTCTGGGTTATGATCAAAATGATCTAAGGATTCGAATCAAATGGTCCGAAACGGACACAATAATATTTCCAATGCTTCCCAACCCTAAGCGCGATGGGTGAGGTGACAATAGTACAGGGCTTCTGGCCATGTCTGTGAATGACATATACGATATGAGAGGGTACAGACGCACAGCATATGAAAGCACTTGCAAGAGCATATGCTACATGTGACAACGTGACTATTATAAACTAGAAATTGCAGCCTAATCAGTTAAGCTACCACCAGCACTACTAGAAAAATCGTTCTTCCCAACGTGGGGATTTTTTTCCCAAGCGGGCATTGCCCTCGGAGAAAAAGGGCCGCCTACGATAATAGCAACCAAGATCATGCTAGCCGTCCACCTAAAAAAAAACTTATTGCAGGCAGACCACATAAGGTGCCACCTACGAAAACTATCTTCGCAGGCGAACCGTATAATACGTCTGCCTGCGATAATTAGGATCTTTGCAGGTGGACGTAATATATGGTCTGCCTGCAAAGATTGTTTCACGGGCGAAACCTTATATGGTCCGCCTGCAAAAACATTTTCTTATAGTCTTCTTCCTCCCTGAGAACTGTTCATTTCAACCGAAGTTTCTCTCCGAAAACAACAAAATATAGGGGGAAAGGTTTTGAACTCGAAATCTTCGGGAGATTTTTCTACATTGGTTAGATACATGCCTTTCCACTCTTGCTATGTATTTTTTTATGATTTTAAACCCCTCTTTTTGTGGTGGATCTATGTATGCAAAATAGTGAAGAAAAGCAGCATGCAAAATATGCGTCGTGGGCAGTGGCGTCCTCCGGGCGTGGTGCCCGCAGGATAAGGTCCTCGAGCACGACGCTGTGGGTGTGTTCCTGACGCACTCCGGGTGGAACTCGACGCTGGAGAGCCCCGCCTCCGGCGTGCTGATGCTGAGCTGGCTGTTCTTCGCGGAGCAGCAGACGAACTGCCGGTACAAGCAGACAGAGTGGGGCGTCGCGATGGAGATCGGCGGCGAGGCGTGGCGAGGAGAGGTGGCGGCCATGACACTGGAGGCCATGGAAGGGGAGAAGGGGCGTGAGATGCGGCAGCGTGCAGAAGAGTGGAAGCAGAAGGCTGTACAAGTGACGCTGCTAGGTGGGCCCTGGGACACCAACCTTGACCGAGTCATCCACGAGGTGCTGCTGTCATGTAAGGATAAAACTCTCAGCGTGAATGGTGAGAGTGCTTAACATTGTATGACTTGTTAGATCGCAGATCAATACTCCCTTCATTTCAAAATGTTTAACGGCCTTAACTTTTTAGCACGTATTTAACCATTCGTCTTATTAAAAAAATTATGAAATATGTAAAACTATATGTGTACATGAAAATATATTTAATAATGAATCAAATGATATGAAAAGAATAAATAATTACTTAAATTTTTTTGAATAAGACGAATGGTCAAATACGTACTAAAAAAGTCAACGGTGTCAAACATTTTGAAACGGAGGGAGTATTATAATATTCCACCAACTAATCAAGCAGCTATGTTATGTGCTTTATGTAGTCTTGCGTTTTGCATCTCCTCTGCAGCTACATTATGGAAAGAGATGCATGGCGCAAACGATTGGTTTTATTTGCGCCACGTAGTTGATTGGATAGTTTTCCAATAGCTGTCAATCCCTAATCTATTTATATTTTATATATTATATACTAAATATCTATTATATTTCCTATAAACGCTCTTAAGCTGCCACGAGAAATTTATGTAAACGTTCATAAGCCATCACATGGCACTTTAATAAATTAGAAAAATCCTAAATATTCTGAAAAAATCTCAACCGTTGATTTCTATTAACATGTGGACCCACTAATTAATTTGTTTGATCTATTATGTTTAGAAATAAACCAGCTAATCCACTCGCTCTCCCTTGGAGCCTCACCAGCAGTCCTCCTATAATCTCCCAAAAAAATATTTTTGGGTTTCCTAAACTGAAAATAGGAAGTGAAAAAACTCCTCCCTCCAACAGATAATCAAGATTTAATCCCCAAAACTAAAAGTGGGCTCTTCTCTTACCAACAGATATTTCCGTTTTTTCACTTCCCCAACGCCGCCGGCAGATCCCTCCACTGCGTGCTCCCTGCCCCTACGCCGCTGGCCGATCTCTCGGCGCGCGCCCTGCTGCTCGTCGCCGATCTCCTATACCATCCCTGCCACACAGCAGCAGCACACACAGCTGCTACCACACAGCACAATCAACACACATGTCTGCATTTTCGTGATCAATTTTCAGCAGCAGAAGCACAATCAGCACTCACAGCAGCAAGCCAGCAACAACAATTTTATCAGCAGCAGTTTATGCATCAGTAGGAGCAACATTCCAGCAAGAATAGCAGCAGCATTTCCAGCAAGAACAGAGCATTTTCCAGCAGCAGCAGTTACATTCCAGCAACAGCAGCAAAATTCCTCCTGCAGCAGCTAATTTTCATATATTCCAGAATCAGCAGCTAATTTTCAGCTGAAACTGCTTATATTTTCAGCAGTCCAAGCAGCAGTTTCAGCAGAAGGAGCAGCTAGCACAGCAACAGAAGCTATCTCAGCAGCATTAATTAGCAGCAATTTCAGTGCAGTTTAGCAGCAGCAGCACTGCAGTTTCAGCAGCACAAAAAAAAAATAGCAGCAACAGCAGCATCATTCCATCGTTCCAGCATCAGCATCAGCACAAATTCTTGCATTATATGAGCTTCAGAAGCAGCAGCACAAATTCCTGGAGCAGCAACATAATTTCCAGATGCCACAGAATTTCCAGAAGCAACAGCACCAATCTTCAGCAGTAGCAATATCATTCCAGCAACAGCAGCAGCAACAGATTCTAGCTAACAGCACCATTAAAGCGGGAAGGTGATTTCATCCCTTGAGGGGATATCCCCTCGTTTCGTGCATGTCACCTAAATATTCATCAAAATATTTTAAAAAAAATTAGCAACATAGATTAATATGAAATATATCACTCCACAAACATGTAAGTTTAAATTCAACTTCTACATGTTGTAACAAAAATAACAAATATAGCTGCGAATATACGATAACTATTTTCAGTTTAATTTGCTCTTTTTGTTGCAACTTGTACAAGTTTAATTTTCCCGTTGGCGACGCCCGGTGCCGAGGACGAGGACGCCACGCAGGACATCCCCGCGCTGTGCCAGTCTACCATGACGAACTGCCTCGGCCACCTCCTCGCGCTGCTGGCGAGGCTCAAAGAGTGGAAGGAGAAGGCCGTACGAGTAACGATGCCAAGTGGGCCCGGGGACACCAACCTTGATCGGATCATCCACGAGGTGTTGCTGTCATGCAAGGGTGAAAACGGGTCTGGTTCGGTTGGTTCTCATCCTTCCCATTCCTAACCCATATTTTATAATCGGGATCGGATCAGACATGAATATTATCGGGTACAAATACAGACCCGAATAATCTCGGGAATAAATACGGAACGAATACGCACCAATACGGATACGAACTCTATCGATTGCGAATATTTATTCGGACATCAAATCAAAGCAACGACCATATATATCATATAGATAATAGCCGTTCAACCATTCCATATATGTATAATATGAATATATTTGAGCACGTACAATAGAAGACTATTAGCCAGCTATAAATATATTTTAATGAGATAAAATATGAGAGAGAAGAGCAACGGTCAAGCACGGACTCTAAGACACAACGTGTGTATGATATGTGGGAGTATATATTAATAGTATAGTAAGCAACTATTATATAAATTAGCTATTAGATCGGCTATAGATGAATTGGAGCTAGTAGTGGGCTCTTAGAGACTCAATGCTGTAGACTGTTGTTCACCATAGCTGCATATCAGTAGTAAAACTACTACTGTACATCACCATAAGTAACAGTGCTATTACAGCAGTATCAAAGTAGTACGACGGTGGTCGGCGGCGGTACGACGGCCGTCGCGCATCCACGCGGCGATGTGCGAGACAGTGGCCGGCGGACGCGGGTGCGCGGCAGCGTAGCCACTAGCGGCTAGCATATGTGCGGCGCCATCGGCATCGTACCGTCACGGCCGGTGCTGGGCGGCGCTCGTGAGTGGCGAGTGGTTGTGCACGCGCGCGGCGTGCCGGCGTGCGGCACCCTCGATGAGACGGTGACTGCTTGCCCCCTCCCTGGCTGCCTTTGGTTGTTGACATGATGGAGTGGTGGTGGCAGCAATCTGGGTAATGTACGGGTAGTTTACCGGGTAATACCCGTATAATTTACCGGACACTCTATATCCGTCGGATACCATCCTTCCAAACCCGATCTCATATCTGCCAGAAAATATCCGTATTTGTATCCAATATCCGTGTAAGGACTCGGGTATCCGAATTTATCCCAGATTAATACGGTCGGGCAGGCGGGCGAGAAATATCCGTCATGTTTTTACACCTTCTGTCATGTAAGGATAATACTCTCAGGGTCGTAAATGATAGTAACGGTTAACATTCTATGACTCATTGGATGGCAGAACAATATTAGAATATTAAAACAACTTACCAAGTAGCCATCTTACGTGCTTTATTTAGTCTTTATAATAGCATCTAGTTAATATATAAAATTCTTCATGTTGGCGTGTTTTGCATCTCCTCTGCAGCTACATTATGAGAAGAGAAACGCGTGGCGAAAACGATTGGCTTTGTTTGCGCCGTGGAGTTGATTCGATAGTAAGTTATATTTATTTTCTATCTTCACCGTGTACTAGGTGGTAAGTTAATTAATTATAAGAGAGAAGAGATGTCAGAAAAAAATATGTGTGTTAATTATATTTATTATTTTCTTTCTTTACCGTGTTCTAAGTGGTTAGTTAATTAATTATAAGAGAGAAGAGATGTCAGAAAAAATATTTATATAAGTGATGTTCAATTTGAACCGATATATTATTTGTCGATGTGATTTCTGTATTAGCATGAGGATAGACAAATAAAATAAAATAAAAATGGCCGTAAGCCCCTGACACAAATTTTTTTTTTGGCTTGTCTTAAGATTCCAAGTATTACAATATGGATTATAGAAGATGCTTCTGCTAATATGTAGGTCAACATTCTGTCTTTGGTTCTTTGGAAGAAGAGCGTACGTTGAAGCTACTTCAGGAGCAGAAAACTTTTTGCATTTATCTCTTGTTTTCCAAATTAGCTCCGAAGTTCACCGCACCGAAGGTAGAAAAAATAATTTCTCCCCCATACTATGTGGTTCGGGTTGTGATCAAAATTAGCTTAGAATTCGAGTCCAATCTTCAGAAATGGACAAAATAAAATTCCCAATGCTTTCCAACCCTAAACGCGACGGCTGTGGTGAGAATAGTGCCGAGCTTCTGGCCATTGCTCTGTGAATGATATGGTATGAGTGGGTTTAGACACATAGCGTGCATAAGAAAGCAAATGCAAGAGCATATACTGCATGTGACAACGTGACTATTGTCAGAAACTTGAAATAGTATCCTAATTAATTAATTAAGGCTGCGTTCGTTGTGATGAGTTCTGGGAGGTTGGGTGAGAAAAGGACATCGTATTCCACGTGCACGCTTCCCAAACTACTAAACGGTGTATTTTTTACAAAAATTTTCTATAAAAAAATTGCTTTAAAAAATCATATTAATCTATTTTTAAAATTTAAAATAGTTAATACTCAATTAATCATGCGCTAATGGTTCACCTCGTTTTGCGTATCTTCTCAATCCCCCTCTTCTCAAACTAACCCTAAGCTACCACCAGGACAAGCTGAAATAGCTACTGTATATGATTTGGGGCTGGTGCATGCCCACGGTCGAGTAACAAATTAAGGTACATTCATCTTATCTAGGTTTTTTACTTTCATAATTAAATTATTCTGGAGATGTCCATCATTTGAACCTCTCTAAACTTTTCTACCTTCAGCTAAAATAGCATACATCATTTCACCACTTACAGATAACCTAGACTCGACAACGGAGTGGATTTGCTGATATGTCTTCTATTCATTGATAAAAGTGTCTTAGCCTTATAATATGAAACGAATGAAACGAAAAGAGTAACATTTTTACGAAGCTAACAAAATTGCGTGTATGACCAGGTTAAGCACTATCCAACAATGATGCATTTCCTGTTAGGACCTCCAATTAATTATTTAATTATATGGTTAAGCACATTAGTGTAGGCATTTAAGCTTCCAAACACTAGCTTTGCAGGACCAGGTACATGCCTTTATTCATGGGTAGATGGTTTTTACATGCTAGCACCTTAGAGTCACATACTA